AGCTCTCTTTCTGCAGATTTAGCTCCAGTTAATTTGGTCTTGGAATGGACCACTGGAAGACTGGACACAAAGTAGAATTCATCCCACAGATGGCCTCTCTTTGATGTGCACACTGTGGAGGTCTGCTATTTCTTCATTGTTCTAGCCTATGGTGGGAAATGGCCCATCAAAATGTAATATCACATTGCCCTGCAGTGACTGGTCCAGGGAGTGAGCATGGGGCCAAGCTCTGGAAATCCAGTTTTACCTTCTGGGAATTTGAATCACAAAGAAATAAAAAGGGGATGGATCAGCATCCCCTTCTGGAAGAACTCTAGAGAGAAGAATAGCCCCCTTCTTGACCATTCAGTCTTTTCTTTGTATCTGTGAGCCACCTTAGCCCCCTTTTACTACATCCTTTTTCTCCATTAGTTAGCATTCTTTTCTGTTGCTTGCAACCACAGAACCTTAATTTTTTTTAATTTTTTTAAAAGATTTTATTTATTTATTAGAGAGAGAGAGTGAGAGAGAGAGCATGAGTGGAGTGAAGGGCAGAGGGAGAAGCAGACTCCCCACTGAGCAGAGAGCCCGATGCAGGGCTCCATCCCAGGACTCTGGGATGATGACCTGAGCTGAAGGCAGATGCTTAACCAACTGAGCCATGCAGGTGCCCCAAACCTTAATTTTTTAAATCACTATTGGCAAGGCTGTACTGTTGTTTGGGGAATAGAGTGGTACAAACCTGGAAATACTAATGTGACACTATGCATCAGTATTACAAACATATATGTGTATATATATTTAAAATATTTAAATTTAAATATTTTATATAATATTTATTATATAAATATAATATAAATATATTTAATATGTATTATAATTATATTATAATATATAGATTATAATATATATAATATATAGAATATAATATATATATTATAATATATAGATATAAATATATAATTATATATATATTATAATATATAATAATATATGAATATATAGATATTTAAATAATATGTTTAAAAGTATATTTTATATATATTTATGTATAAATATATATATATATTTATTTGACTCAGCAGTGTTGCTTCTAGCAATTTGTACCATAAAAAAATGTTCAGACCAGTTCAGAGAAATATATGCAGAGGATTCTCATCAAAATAAAAACTGGAAACTAAATGTCCAAGAAATTGATCATTTGCTGAAAAAAAAAATAGGGTACAGCAATGTAGAATACTATACAACCATTAAAAATGATGATGATATATGTATATTTACTAACTGGAAATGAATCCCATAAAATATTCAGTAGAAAAAACAAGTATAAAATGTATAGTATTGATCCAATTTTCATAATGTAGCATGATTATATAAATGTGAGTAGGGGTGCAAACATGTATGTGGGTGTATGTGTAGCTGGAGAAAGAAGTTTGAAAGGATATGTGTCACATTCCAAGAAATGGAGATTATTTCTGGATGATGGGACCATGCCTCCTTTTTATTTTCATCTTTATTTTATATTGTCTATATAACCTCCCATATATGTTATTTATAATCAGATTTTTTTTTGAAACATGAAGTATCTCCTCTTATGCAGAAGTCAATATGTATTTTCTTCTGATGCATGGGCACACTTTGCCCAGAGTTGTTTTTTAGATAGGGAGAGACATTTTAATATATAAGAGGTTGAACCCAAGACCTTAAATGTGTCATAATTAGAGAAATAGCATGTGTATTAGGTTTCTATCATTGCTGTAAAAAGTAACCACAAACCTAGTGGCTTAAAACAACAGAAATTTATTCTCTCATAGTTTCAGAAGTCCAGTCACTGTCCCTGGGCTGAATTCAAGGTGTCCACAGAGCTGCACTCCCTCCTAAAGTTCTAGAGGGGGATTCGTTTTTTGCCTCTTCCAGCTTCTGGTGGCCGCCAGCATTCCTTGGCTTGTGGCCACCTTCCTGCTTTCAAGGTCACATCACCTACTCCTCTTCTGTCTATAGTAAAAATCTTCCCTCCCTCTCTCTCAATCATATGGATATTTGTGATTACATTTAGAGTCCACCAAGATAATCCGGGATACTCTCCCCATCTCAAGATCATTAACTTAATCCCAGCTGCAAAGACCCTTTTTCAATATAAAGTAACATTTACAGATATCAAAGATTAGAACTGGGATGCCTGGGTGGCTCAGTCAGTTAAACCTCTGCCTTCAGCTCAGGTCATGATCCCCGTGTCCTGGGATCAAGCCCCACGTCAGGCTGCCTGCTCAGCGGGGAGTTCTCCCTCTGTCTGCCACTCCCCCTGCTTGTGCGTTCTCTCTCTCTGACAAATAAATAAATAAAATCTTAAAAAAAAAAAAAAGATTAGAACCTGATACCTCAGGGACACATTTTTTATCCTACCACAATATGCTATCCTAAAAATAAGAATCCCACCCTGAATTTGACAAGATTACTGATTACTATTAACCAAAATGAGATGCTGTTGCCACCACCATGCTGATATGCATATGGCCTATGAGCTAGCCTAAATGTTTAATGCAAGAGGACAGATCTGATACCTGATTTATAAACCCGGTGCTTCTCATGTCCAGGAGAAACTTCAGCCTTTCCCTTTTCTGAGGTCCCTAGTATATTAAAAAATTAAGAAATCCCAAACAGTGGTGCTTGGATGACTCAGTTGGTTAAGTGGCCGCCTTTGGCTCAGGTCATGATCCCAGGGTCCTGGGATCCTGTCCCACATCGGGCTCCCTGCTCCGAAGGGAGTCTGCTCTGCCTCTGCCTTTCCTCCCTCTCATTCTCTCAATATTTCTCTCTCTCTCTCTCATAAATAAATAAAATCTTTTAAAAAAGAAAGAAAGAAAGGAAATCCTGGAGCACCTGGGTAGCTCAGTTAATTAAATGTCTGACTCCTAGTTTCAGCTCAGGTCATGATCTCAGGGTCATGAGATCAAGTCCCACACTGGGCTCCTCACTCAGTGGGCAATCTGCTTGGGGTTCTTTCTCCCTCTCCCTCTGCCCCTACCCCCTCTCTCTCTCTCAAATAAATAAATAAATCTTAAAAAAAAAAAAAGAAATCCCAAACAACATTAGAAAACTTGGTATATAGTACACATACTCCATGATCCTCCTAAGAAGTTCTGCTAGGAACTCTATACTTTTGGAATTGACCATCCAGCTTTCAAACCATCATCTTACTCACAACCCTGTGCAGTGAGTGGTTTTTTTTGCCAGTTAATGTCATCCATAGCCAAGGCTGTCATGCTGCCATATCCAGACCATAACTAACCTGGCCATTGTGCATCTCCAAGATGCCACAGCTGTCTGGAATCTGGGAGATGAAACCATAAACAGGTGAAATTGTGTCCAAGGAATTCTAAATATAGAACTGAATGAGTACAACAGGAAGCTGAGGGTAAGCAAGACCTAGGACAGATGAAGGGACAGAGTATGTACGAGGTCTAGGTTGTCACAGAAACGAAGTTCAAATCAACAGAAAGAACCTAGACATTTGAGCAGAGCTGTCAGTGCAGGATGTAAGGATAAGAGGCAGAACCTGGAGAAAGTCCCCGGAGCTGGAATATTGAGCACTATTTACCTTGTATCCATCACTGTGGCTCAGGGCTTTATGCTCATTCTTTCATGCAACCTTAAACACCCTTGCAAGATAGATATGACGATCTTCATATTACAGATGATAAAATTGAGGCTGAGAGAGGTAAAGTAAACTTTTCAAAGTCATCTTGGGACAGAGACTAACCCATGAGTGGAGAGGGAGATATTCGGGAGTGCCAAGTTGGCTCCAGTAATTGGAATACTCTTAACTCCTTTCCTTAGGCCTCCCTAAATTTATGTTCAAATTACTACCCAGTCATGCAAAATGGGTGATAATTGGCCATCGCATGGTTGGGAGAAAAGCAAATAAATGACAAATTAGCTAATTTTGTAGCTGAGAATAGAAACAGGCTCTAATTGTGAGCTGTCTCGGTTGGCTCTTTGTCTCCATAGGCCACAAACTATACTTTCCAACTCTTAACCCAAAGGAATCCTATGCACCACTGCCCTGTGGTTTCCCTGCCAATAAAGCTGTAGATACTCCTAGACTGTGTCCCCTCCTCTGAATATTTCTGTTTCATCTCCCCAAGGTTCTACCCTCTTTGGTTTTTCTCAAGAGTCTGACCTGAAATGGTTCTCTCAGCCATGCCAGCCTCAACCTCCCAGGTAAGATTCTACCCTCTCCTCTTAGGCCTCAGGACCCCATGTTCAGCTCTGTCCTTTTGTAATCACCCAAACCAGCAACCTAGTCTTTTTTCGGGAAGGGAAGTCTATCAAGAACTATCATGGTAGAAAATAGCCCCCACCTCGTTTCCAAAGCAATAGAAATCTTAGTACTCGCTGGGCTGTCTCCATCAGTGCCACAGGAACTAATTTCTACAACCCTGTTGATGGACAGCAAAAGCAAAGGGGATTTTAAAAGGTCACGTCTAAATTTAAATGGGCTGAAAGCAAGAATGATTCCAAAACCTAGACCAATAGCACAGGACACGTAAGAAATGGCAGGTGGGTCTCGAGGCAGCACCTAGGACATGGACAGAAGCCTTTGTGCGAGATGTTTGAGAACAAGCGTGTGCGTAGGGATGGGGGTAGTTAAGGTCACGGTGCTGATTTGGACAATGAGAAATCTAGGATCAAGACTAATGCAAACTTCTTGAGTGACTTCATTCCGAGGTCTGCGGTCTGAGTCACCAAGTAGCCTTTCTGCACGCCTCCCTACTGTTCATCTCTTCTTGGAGGTGAATGTAATAAGGTTACAGAAATTCTTTACAGAAGCAGAATTGCTACTCCGGGCAAGTGCATGATGAAGTAACACTTCCAGGAGGTGTATATTGCAGGCTTTTTGCCAATCCCTGAAGTATTTTAGCTATAGAACATTCACTGGGGCCACAAGAATATGTCTGGCTAAGGCCCATTAAAATAGTAAAAAAAAACAAAAAAACCCCCCAAAAAACAACTTAGAATACCTGATCCTCTGAAGAATGTATTCAACAGACAGAACAGTCTATTGGAAGGAGAGTAGACCCATTCAAAGCCACCTTTGGTAAATCCTTTTGCAGTGTCCTTGTTTCTAATCCAGCCAATGGACCGCATCACGTCTTGTTTTTTATGTTTGTTGGCTTATAAAAAGCACGCCGGCTCACTGACTGCATGTCTAGTGGATATAATTTTGACCAGCCTGTCTTCTTTCTTCCTGAACACAAATCTGAAGGTTGACTTTTTGCCTTTCAAGTCCAGACATTTTTTAAGATGCTGTCATGCCCCTTGAGACAGTCCAGAGGAAACAGGTCCCCTGGGAGGTGTGCCCGTCCTCCAGGTGGGGAGGCAGAGTGGTCTCCTTGGAGCATTTGTCCTCTTTGACCGGCTGAACATTTCTCTGTGGTCAGGAAGAGAGGGTAGAAGTCTGCAACCATGGGGACCCCCCACTCACTCAGAGTGGGAAAGGGGAATGGTTTTCTCACCGAGATTTGGCTGAGAAGTCTCACTCCAAGTCAGGTTGATGGCTGCCATTTTTTTATCCTCTAAATGCTTCTTCAAAGAAGACAAAAAAAGGTCTTATGTTTCTGCTTGCAATTTCAAATTTAAAAGAACACCTGGTCCTTCTGCCGAGGTTGATTCAGACATCTGGTACAGCCATCAAGAAGCTGGGCCAGGGGCTGGCGGGACTCCAATGCTTGCTTCCTTCTCGGCTTACTCCACACTTTGCTGGGGTTATCAGAGTATTCCTACGAGTGAAGAACAGTCTGCACTTTCTTCACCCTGCTCAAGTGCTCACTGGGCTTTCTACAAATGGCAAATAAAGGAGCAAGTACTTTACAAAGTATTCTGTGTTCTTAAATGTCTGAGGAGAAAGTCTCGAATCTGGTAACAACGTGATGGCAGCGCGGCTCACCTGGGGCGGCCACCCCTCTGTCTCATAGTCACCCGCGTGATTTGGGAAAGACACTGTCATCCATGGGTGTTGTCACTAAAACCTAAGCCCTGAGCATTGAAGGGAATTCTGTTTGGAAAGTGTTTCTTGATTCCTTTCACTTCCCGTTTTTCTAAGGTCAGAAACAACCAGTAATTAAAAGGAAAAAAAAAAAAGGGTTTCATTTTCTACTTAAGATGGAAATGATGGCTTCCTCAAATTCCTGCCTCGGAGAGTATACTGTGAGATCAGCAGCCTGATGCGTGTCATTTTTTCCGGGAGGTTTGAAGAGTGGAATAAACTCTCTAGGACAATACCCAGGTTCCTGCATTTTGAGAAAAAAAGATTTTATTATAGAGATTCTTGTACCAAGTTGAATTTTTTTTAAGATTTTTATTTATTTATTCGTGAGAGACAGAGAGAGAGGGAGGCAGAGGGAGAAGCAGACTCCCCATGGAGCAGGGAGTGCAATGCAGGACTCGGTCTCAGGACCCTGGGATCATGACCAGAGCTGAAGGCAGACACTTAACCGACTGAGCCACCCAGGTGCCCCATACCAAGTTGAATTGTTATCTGTATTTCCATCTCGGTCCTCCTGAGGGATGAAGAGACCCCAGAGGGCAGGACTGTTGGTTACTTGACTCATAGATCAGAAAATTACACAGAGCTTAGGGTACAGCAGATGGCTACTAAAGTTGTTAAATAAAAATGGTGGGGAGTTGAAGAAAATATCTCTGGAAATGTTTTAAATGTACATGTTCTCTGGTAAGAGGCAATTGGAATGACTTAAATCAGGAGTCATCCAACTACAATCTGAGAATCAAATCCAGTAGTTGCCCTTATTTTCAGTAAAGTTTTATTGGGTGCCTGAGTGGCTCGGTTGGTTGGGCGGTTGCCTTTGGCTTGGGTCATGATCCCAGGGTGGGGCTTCCTGCTCAATGGGGAGTCTGCTTCTCCCTCTCCCTCTGCCCCTCCCCCTGCTTGTGCTCTCTTGCTCTCTCAAATAAAATCTGAAAAAAATATTTTAAAAAAATGAAGTTTTATTGACACACAGCCGTGTTCATTTGTTTACATAATGTCTATGGCTACTTTCACACCACAACAGCAATTGAGTGGTTGTGACAGGGACTGTATGGGCCACAAAGCCAAAAATATTTAACATCTGGCCCTTGATTTAAAAAAAAATTGCTAACCCCTGACTTAAGTGAAAAAACAAATGTAGCACACAAGTAAGTAAGCAACAAGTAGTTACTGAATCCTTGTCATGTGCTTAATATTATTGCAGGATTTGCAATAGACACCGCAAGATGTATCTTACTTCTCTGAATAACAGGTACTTTAACCATTTGAAGGCACTGACTTTAGGAGCTGAGTCAGTAAAGAAGAGAAGGCATCATCCATGTGTTGGAGTGAATGGAACTTAACTCATTGAGATGGAACAGCTGGTAAATCAAAGAGGGTGTGAGCAAATGGGAAAGAGGAAATTACTTTGAAGACAGCATTGACAACAGCAACCAAAAGAATGCAACCATCCTCCAGTCTTTCCCATTGCCATTTCCTTGGAAGAATACTGGGGAAGGCATTGCATTCTGCATTCACTGTATGAAGTTCCACAGTATAAAGACTGGAACTATTTTCCTTGGATATTGAATGCACACATGATTTCAGAAGGGTGAAAAACCTGGTAACAGGTTGCAGATATTTGATCTCTATTGTATGTAGTTATTGTCTTTTTAAATTTTACTGAAGACCTACTATGAATCAAAGGGTCATGCTAAGTGCTTTATACATGTTATTTTATTTAATTATAGTTTGTGTGGGAAGCCTTATTATTTCTATTGTATAGCATCAATATCTTCATAGAAACCTCCTAAGCCATACAGTGTATGAGTCAGAGTAGGCCAGATTATGCTTCAGTAACAAACAGTGCCCACACCTCAATGGCTTAACATGACATTTATTTATTTCCTGTTTGTGTTACATGTTTACTGCAGGTCAGCAGGGGTCACTGCCTTCTGTAGTAACTCAAGGAACCAAGGTGGCAGAGGGTCCATTTTGACCACCATGCACTGGCAAAAGGGTATTACAGCATCGCCTACTATCTATAATATGCTTCGTCCAGAAGTAACACAAATCGTTTTCACTCACATTTCATTAGCAGGATTGAAACCCACTTCTATCTGACTCCAGTACCTGTTATCTTTCTACCAGCACTCAGAGTTATATAATATGTCCATATTAATATAATACTGTGCCTCCTAGACCTTTTTTACCCAAACTCCAAATTTACACAGGCATGTGCTGACATTTACTAGTTTAAGAAATATTTATCAATGCCTCCTGTGAGCCATACACTATCTTAGCTACTAGGAATACAGGATAAAACAAAATGGACATAGCAATCTTCTTATATTATACCAGGGAGAGAAAATAAGCACATTAAACAGATGACTTAGTAAATAAAACAGTAAAACATGTGTGATGGTTGGTGATAAGTGCTACTTAGAAAGTAAGACCTGGCAAGAGGTAAACAATGCTGGAGGCTGGGAGCTGAGATGCTCCCCCACCCCACACAGCCCTTTAGCATTTATGCCTGAGCATGGCACATGCCCTGGGGATCCTGGAAATCGGCTGCTTGACAGAAACTAATATAAGAAGCAGATCTGTATTATTTCTGGCAGTCTGCAGTCTGATACACATCCTGAGGCCATGAGTGGTAGAGAAGTGGGGTGGGGGGTAGAGGTCTTGCCAGGACATCTAGTTTTCTGAGGCCTCTTTCAGAAGGAGGTGAGGAGGCTGTGGGAGGGACAGTTGTAGACAATATTCAAAACTTGGACTCTTCTATGCCTCCTTAAATATAATATAATTGTGGCCAAGAAAATAAGGATCCATAAAGCAAGTCTTCATGTGATATGCCAAAGAGAGGAGGAGGGGTCAGTTTGGCATTAAAAAAAAAAAATCTGAGCATGCTCCTTAAGTGCGTGTGAACAGGGGTTAGATCTATGCCTGCTTTGGGCTTGGCTGGTAGAGGATTGCAATGTTTCTCTTCATTTGCAATGAGTGACATATTTATAATGAATTTTCCTAGACCAAATTTGGGTCCCCGTTTCCCTTTTCCTAAAATAACTCTTCTATTTGCTCTGTTCCACTACAGCGCCCTCTGGCCCATTCAGTAGGTCCCACTGATTGTTCATGAGGTGTTTTAAAACCAAATTATACTTCTTATATTCAGCAGTGCTTTTCTCTTTTCCCCTGCAATTTTTCCAACTTGCTATCAATCTTCATGTTAAGGTTTCCAGCAAAGTGTGTGGATAAAGAATATCCCCTTTATAAGTGGCTTTTTCTATTAACCTGGCTCATCCCACCTTGTCAAAACACTTAGCTGCAAGACAGTAACTCCTTCAAAGTCCTGGCTCAGATTTCAATTTACCAGTGACCTTGGGTGGATGAATCACTTTGCCATTGTGACAAAGAAGGCTCCTTGGGGAATACAGGATTATTCATTTTCTGCTCAGCTACAGAGACAGAATTTGGGGATTTCTTAATATTTGAACAGTGCCCCGTAGTTGGAAAGAATGATACAGACATCCTATTTGATTACCTTGATCAGTTAGAGATATGGAGGAAGCTCGTGTCCAGCACACCCTCAGAGTTCAGGATTGCTTCCAAAGACCAGAGCACCACTGTGGTTTCTCAACTGCACCCTATTCTTAAGCCAGCATCCCCCCCCACCCTACCTCCCTTTCTCCCTACCCTCTCCAATCTACTCCACAATAAAAATCCGAGTCCTCTCTTACTGAATGTTTATGGTGTGCCAACCACTGTGCCATGTTGCATAAATAATCACAATTATTCACACCTCCAGGTTTCCATGGTTTCCATGACCTTTGCCACATGACTTTGCAGTTTCTCTCTTGGAGGTATAATGTCCTTCCTCCATTGATATTGGATTTGGTCATACGATTTGCTTTGATGGATAGAATATGGTGTAAGTAATGTGCTACTTCTAGGCTTCGGTCTCAAGAAGCCCTGAATATATTCCCTTTATCTCTGAAACCTCTGTCTCTGCTATGAGAACAAGCCTGAGCCAAGCACCTGGAAGAGGAGAGGTAGGTGGCCCAGTTACCTGAATCACTTTAATAGCCAGCCAACATCAGGTAAATCTCCCGGCTTGTGAATGAGGCCATCTAGACCAGCCAACTGCAAGCTGACTACAGATATGTGGGTGAACCAAGTGACATCAACCAAGCTTGGTACAAGCAGCATCGTCGAGCTCGCCCACAGTCTCAGGAGAAATAAGAAATAGTTTTTCTTTTAATCTATGAGTGTTGGGATGTTTGTCATGCAGTAATAGCTAACTGGCAAGCATTTTATAAAGATTAGTTTATTTAATCCTAATAATGATCTTATACAGTAGAGCCTATTACTATTCCCATTTTATAGAAGAGGAAACTGAGACTCAGAAAATTTTAAGGTCACACAGCCATGAAGTAGCAGAGTTAAGATTACAAACCCAAACGTCTAATAATTCAAAATCTGACATGTTTCACCATATACCCCTGCGGACACCCCTCTCCTTGCTTGTTTTGTTCCTGCTCATTTTGGAAGGGAAGGGCTCAATTCTAAACAACAGAAGTTTGCTAAAACTCAGGCTTTTCAAGATGAAGAATTCCTTTTCCTTAGACTCAAAATGAAAGCTTCAGGTAACTGACTTTTCTTGGAGTCTCTGTTGTCTTGTGAAGTTTCTCTGAAGCAGGTACTGGTAAAGAAAAAGACACAAGGCATTTCTTTTTTTTTTTTTTTTTTAAGATTTTATTTATTTATTTATTTTGAGAGAGAGAATGAGAGACAGAGAGCATGAGAGGGAGGAGGGCCAGAGGGAGAAGCAGACTCCGGGCCGAGCAGGGAGCCCAATGCGGGACTCAATCCCGGGACTCCAGGATCATGACCTGAGCCCAAGGCAGTCGCTTAACCAACTGAGCCATCCAGGCGCCCGACACAAGGCATTTCTGAACATGTATGGAAACATTTTTTTATGGTAATAACTTGTTTATGCAAGTAACACCAGTGTGTATTCTAAAACTTCCCAATGTCCTTTCCTCATAAGTTAAC